AAGGCCATATGTAGTTGTTTTAGGTTTAGGGAGAGACAGAATGTAGTTACCGCGTAAATTATAGGAAGTAGACCGGAAAGTAAACATACTGTTTAGATATCCTGGGTAGTGAGAAAAAAATACTTTTGTACAATATGATTAAGAAATTCTGAAGGCGTCTAACTTGTAGAGATTTTAGGTTGACCTTCTCAAGTAATAAATCATATGAAGAATCATAATCTTGTAAAAGGAACCTTAATATTCGCTTGTTTAAAGCTTCCATTTTGCTGGCATTGCGCGCACCGCAAAAATGCCACACAAAATATACCACAATGACTATTTAATAACATATTTCAAAATATGGAAAATCAATAACCACTTCCAGAATAAGTATACATTTTTCATCAATTTCCTTAGCTGCGTCAAGTTTCTCGGAGATCAGAATGAAAGAGGCAGAAAAAAGAAGTCCCTCCGAGTACATAACAAAGAGCATACCGAGTGTGGAAAGGAGATTGCATATAGCAGGTACGTATCATGTTCACGAAATCAGTTTGCTTTTGTTTGTTTTTTGTTGTTGTTTTTTCGCTTGCCAGTGGATGATAAATAAGTTGTATAATAGACGTTTTGCGTTCGGTGTATTTCTCACGACTAAAATTAAAAAAGAAGACTCTATTTTAAGAAGGAGAAAACGCCAACGCTTTTATAGAAGTATTAGGTAACATTTAATCAGTAGATTAAAGCATTGCATTAGTTAGGTTGCTTCATTTCCACGACGTCGTTAAAAGTTCTCGTTTACAGTTCGAGACGTTCGTGAAATGCGGTCCTAAAAAGGCCGGACCAAAGGCGTATTTTTTCATTATTGTAAGCTGAAGTTTGCACCCTATTTTGAAGAGTATACCACAATGACTATTTAATAACATTTTTCCAAATATCGAAGATCAATAACCATTTCCAAAATAAGTGTATATTTTTGCTTGAATTCCTTAGCTGCGTCATGTTCCTCGGAGATCGGATTGAAAGAGGCAGACAAAAGACATTTCGCCGAGGACGTAACAACGAGCATACAAGCATGCGAGTCGATGGTGGAGACTAATGAAGTAGGTATGTATTTGATATAGGTATGTATCAGGTCCACGTTAATCAGTAGACTAAAGCATTGCATTAGTTACATCATTCCCACGACGTCATGAAAAGTTCTCGTTTACAGATTTGATAACATTTTTCCAAATATCGAAAATCAATAACCATTTCCAAAATAAGTATATATTTTTGCTTGAATTCCTTAGCTGCGTCATGTTCCTCGGAGATCGGATTGAAAGAGGCAGACAAAAGACATTTCGCCGAGGACGTAACAACGAGCATACAAGCATGCATCAGAGTGAAAGAGCCAGAAGAAAGAGATTTCACCGAGTATGATATAGGTACGTATCAGGTCAACGAAATCTGCCTGGTAAACGTATGGGAATCTAGCTCAGTCGACATCGCTTGCCAGTGGATGATAAACAAGGTGTATAATACGAGACGTTTTGCGTTGCTGTATTTCTCACGACTAAATTAAAAAGACTTAATTCTATTTTTAGAAGGAGAAAACGCCAACGCTTTTAGCGATGGTACAAAATACTGAACAGCAATTTTTTTTATACGCCAATTTTTCAAATTACTCATTCATTGTTAATAATTAAAATGTAATTTCTTAGCTACGCCAGGTTTATCGGAGTCCAAATCGAAAGAGGCAGCAAGACTTTCGGCATATCATTTCGCCTTACACACTACGCAAGGGAAATTGCCCGCGGGATCTAGCTTGACATCCTCGTCAGAGTATTACAAAAAAGGTTTGAGCTGTATTACAAAAAAAGGTTCGAGCCAAAGGACATAGGCGATAGGTCATGGAAAATGTTGTAGACCCATACTGACCCTGGGCCTCGGAACTACATATCTTCTATCGCTTACCGCCTATCACCTCCTCCTTTGGCTCTGACAACCTTTTTTTTTTTTTTTTTTTTTTTTTTTTTTTTTATTTTTTTTTTATTTTTTTTTTTTTGAAATAGGTATATGAATGCTGCCTAATTGGGTCGGTTGAGTTACTGCGTCAACACGTACAAAGCCACAAAGAGCATGCGGCATACTTAAAGGCCGCTGACCAGTAATTATAGTGAACTGTTCTGCTGTGCCGTTTTTTTGCAGGAGACTTCATTTCCCTTCGTGAACTCAAGCTTCGTGAGTACCAGAAAGAGCTTGCAGCACCTGCCCTGGAAGGCAAGAACACCATCATCTGTGAACCAACCAACAGTAACAAGACCTTTGTTGCTATGAAGATTGTAAAAAGACACCTTGATGCTTGCAAAATTCTTAAAATTAAGAGCAATGGTAAGTTAAGCTTTCAGAGGCGAAGCCGAGGAGGAGGAGTTAAGGGGGCATCCCATGAAAATCCTGCATCCTTGTTTTGGGTGCTTTTAAGAATTCAAATTGCAAACGATAATAAATTTATCTTACATTTTCAAGCAGTGATAGTTGTGGTTGATAAGCAGATCAGTGTGTTTCAACAAAGAGCCTGTTTTGAGGAGTATCTGACGAACTACAGCATATCAGACATCTCGGGAAGCAATTCAGATGTGATTCCTCTTCACCGTAGGATCCAGGACAATGATGTAGTCGTAGTGACTGCAGGGATACTGATGAACGCTATGGTTGACAAATCAGTCCATATTACAGATATAACACTTCTAGTGTTTGATGAATGTCACCATGCCAACAAGGATCACCCGTACAGCCAAATTATGCAGGCGTACTTGGAGACTAAATTATACGATCTCGAAACGAAGAAATTACCTCAGGTAATGGTGTTCATTCACATTCGTCTAGAGCAGATTTCGTATGACTGTGAAAAATTCAGTGCTGTGTCGCGACCGTGATGTTTTCTAGAATTATGATTGGCTTTCTTTTCTCCCGCGCAGTGTTATTGGTCTGGCAGTGTCGTTTCCTTGTCGTGACCGTGACTGTGCCGTGTTTGTGCCGTGTTTCGTGCATTTAATTGGTAGAAGAGTGCGTGTCTTGCCGCGACCGTGATGTTTTCTAGATTTTTGATTGGCTGACTCTTTGCCGTGGCGGTGTTTGTACCGTGAGCTTTTCACAGTCATACGAAAACTGCACTATCTTGAAATCCCGGCGGGTTTGTACTTATCAGTAAGTTGGGGGGGGGGGGGCGGCAGCGGGAGCGCTTTGGTTGAAGAGGAAATGTTTATTACTTTTTTTATCGTCCTAGTCAATCTTTTATGTACTATTTATAAACTCATCTTATACTATAAATCTAAGAGCCCATGTTTAAATAGCTTAGAAAATCAAGTTATGAAATAATGATAAATGACATTTCAACTTTCGAACACCAAGCTATCCTCATAGACCACTTTAGCTTGGACTAATGTTTTTCCAATTTAGACCATGTCTCATTCCCTAGAATATCATTTAGCCATTCCGATGCGGGTCAAAAACTCTCGAAATCGTTGCGGCAATCGTTGCGAAAAGTAGAACCCGACCTAGTATTTCAACGACTGGGATGCACAACGTGAATGAAACTGTGGGACACCTTCTTTACCAGACCATGATTTGGGTCAGCCCAGTAGTAAGATATTCTTAATCTATTACAAACTAAACCAGACCTTATTGCTTATTCTAGGTAGTTGGTTTCACTGCTTCTCTTGGTGCAACTACTAAGGAACAAGTCCTACAGATTTGTGCTAACATGGACGCATCTAACATCAGTACCGTTTGCAAGAACACCGAGGAGCTCAAACTCTTTTCTCCTCAGCCGTTACTCGAAACGAAGAAGACACAAATTGAAAAGAAGCCTAACATATTTGAGAAAGAATTAAATAAGGTATTAAAGCATTTTTGTAAATGGAGATAAGTTGAATTCAGTTCACAGAACAAGATGATTTTACACCTTTTTTTCACCACACACAACGAAAAAGTCTTTTGTTCCGCATAGTTATGCAGTGCATAACATATATTGTATTTCGTTAGATTTTCTCGCTTCTCAGTCAACTTTTTTTTCATTTAACATAGGCCATGGAAAAAATTGAGGTCTTCATCAAGGAAACTCCTCCCCAAGCAATGGATCGGCAGGTTGAAGGTTATCGCCAGTGGATTAAACTGCTTGAAAAAAAGGGAGAAGGGAATCAATTGGCATGCGCGTCACAACTAAGATGGTATTCTTTTACTAAATTTAGGTGAAATTGTGAGGTTGGGGACGGGGGAAGGGGGGGGGGGGGGAAATGGCGATGGTAACAACAATAATGATGGTGATCAGATGCTGCTTGTGACATTAATGGTGATGGTGATGGTGTTTTATGTTATAGTTATCACGAGGCACTGCTAATCAACAGCAAGGTTAGAATTGAAGACGCCATTCTTTACCTGGACGAGTACATCAACGACCTCGACAAATCAAAGTTTACTGAAACTGAATATTGGTTGCAAGAATTGTACCTCGAAACGAAGGAGCGAATCAAAAAGCACATCAAAGAAGCTGGTAGGCCAGAAAATCCGCTACTTATTGCATTACAGAAGATGTTATTAGATTTCCACACAACTAAAGCTCCGGAAGAATACAAACCTAAAGGAATCTTATTTACGCGTACGAGGGAATACGCATACGCGCTAAAGAAGTGGATGGAAGAATCTGAAGAGCTTAAGGAAATTTTAAGACCTGAGGTCTTGCTTGGAGTTGGTAAGTGTAAGATAGTTTTCTTGTGACTCATCTTCCAGTGCCTAGTTTACTATGACACTGAGGGCGCTTCCAATCCTTTTCTTAAGGAAGGATGTAGTAGTGTTTAAAATGCAACCCTAAGCCCTTCCAGTGCACTTGCTATTCCCTACCTTTCACAAGGAAGGAATGGTTAAGACATGACATATATTATTACATAAACAAATGAGTAAATGAAAGAAAACATTTTATCTTTTCAACATCTACAACAGCTGCGGTAACGCAAAGCCAACAAGAACAGGTCATTCAGAGTTTTAAGGAAGGCACAGTCAACATCATCATTGCAACAACCGTTGCTGAAGAAGGACTGGACATCTCTGACTGCAGTTACGTCATTCGCTATGGATTTCAGGAAAGTGAGATTTCAAGTGTACAGTCAAAGGAACGTAAACGACGATCTCGAGAAATGCTTTTGGAATTAGTTTTGAGAGATATAAAGGATATTCCCTCAGAAAAGTTTCAAAAATTGGTAAGCTAAGCTAAAGGATGTTGTCATGACAAACAATAAAAGCTTTACTAATTACATTTACGACTTTTTTGACAGATACGCATCCTGCAGATCAAAAGTTTTGCCAATAAAAAACCAGGGCAAGAAACCGGCATTGAGAAATCCTCTCTGAAAGATGCTGATGGTGTGACATTTTACTGTCAGAAGTGTATGGCATTGGTTTGTCATGCTCAAGACATTCGTAGGTTTAAAGAGTCACATCACGTGGTTATCAACAAGGACATTCATGAAAGGATAGACATCAAACCCCACGAAAAACCCAAAACTTTCGATGGCATTCATTTTGGCAATAGGGTAATCATAAGTCAGTGTTAGTTTTAATGTATTAAATGGTGTAAACGTATACCGTTCTGTCCTAAGGCATTTCATCTTATCAGGCACTTCGTTTTTCTGCGGTCTAACCCCACCCCACACCTACCTACCTACCTACCTACCTACCTACCTACCTACCTACCTACCTACCTACCTACCTACCCTTCTACCTACCCATCTACCTACCTACCTAACTACCTACCTTCCCACCAACCTACTACCTATTACCTACCTACTTACCTACCTACCTACCTTCCCACCTACCTACCTACCTACCCCTTCCAACCTACCTTCCCACCTA